TGACATGTATATCAATCATATTATTAACACTGTTTGTATTACATGAAAAAACTTCTTCATCATGGATTTTACGCAATTCTACATTTGAAGTCTGTTTAGAAGAAGTATTGATGGTATGCCATTCTAAAATTTCTCTAGAAGATCCTGCAATATCTATATCTGTTTGATTTGCAATAATCCGTCTACCATGACGTTTTGAAACAAGTTTTCTTTTACGTGTGTTATTCATATTTCTTACAATAAATAAACATTACACAAATATGTATTGGAAAATATTTAAGGAAACATTTTCAAAAAAATATTTTTAAGAAAGTAAAATATAAATGTACGTATTTAAATAAACGTATTTGAAATAAAATAATGAAAATAAAGTATGTAATTGAGTACATATAGGGTGAAAGAAAAGTATGGAAACCCTGACAAATCTAAATAATAAAATTTAAAATAAAATTTAATAATCAAAAACAGGTTTAAAAAGTTTAAAATAATAATAAACAAATATTTAATAAAAACTTTTAAAAGTTTAAAATAATATTAATTATAAAATATTAATAGACTTGGTTAGTGGGTGCGTGTGTGAGTGGATGCGGATTGCGAGCGTTGAGTGGGTGATTGCGAGCGACTGCGTTCACGGATAGATTTTGGAGTGTAGGATAGAAGGAGAGGGGAGGTAAACGGCGGAGGAGGCGACAGAAGTGGAGGGAAGTAGAGAGAAGTAAGGGGTGAGAAGTAATTAAAGGGGTAAATAGACGACAAAGTGAGAGGTTAGGATAGAGGGACGAGGGGAAGGGCTAGGGGGAGGGGATTTCGTGCGCTTTACGTACGGCATAGGGCATAGAGTATATAGACGACATACGGCATAGAGTAGGGTGACAAGTGAGCGGGTGCGAGTAAGGCCGAGTCCGCATGTAACGCGGTGGGCCCGTGCGTATTGTCAGGCGAGTTACAACATGCAGAAGGACGAGGAAAGAGGGAGAAAGGGATCGAGGAAAGATAAATTGATGGAGAGAGAGAGATCGAATTCAACTAGCATATTGGAATTTACGTATGATAAGAGGAAGAGGGACGAGCTAGAGAGACAGACAGCAGAGATATTCAAAAGGAGCAATATGATGGATAGAACACCACCTGGAGAGAAGAGACTGAAAGAGAAGGAGAGAGATACGGAAGAGAATGGAAAGAGGAAGAGTGAAGAGGGAGCTATGATAGCATTATTGAGAGAATTAAAAGAAGAAATGGCAAGTACAAGGATCGAGATACGGGAATTAAAGGAAAGCTGGAAGGCTAAGGAGGAAAGAATGGAGAAGAAGATAGAGGAATTAGAAGAAAGAGTAAAAGAATTAGAGAGACAAGGAGCCGGAGGAAAAGGGAGGTTAGAAGAAAAGATAGAAGAAATAACGGAAAAAGTGAAGGAACGGATAGGTAGACAGGGAGGCAAGGGGGAGTCAACGGGCGATGTAGGAGAGGAAGTGAGAAGGTTGAAAAGGATAATGGACGAGAGAGAGAAGAAGGAGAGAAGGAATAACATAACCATAAGAGGTCTGAGGAAGGGGAAGAGCAGCCTGAAGGAGGAGGCTAAAGAATTTCTGGGAAAAGAATTCGGGATCATCAAAGAAAATGTAAAAGGTGTTCAAGTGGTAGGCAGGGAAGGAAAGGAAATAATAATAGTAGAGATGGAAGATTGGGAGGGAAAGGAAACAATAATGAAGCGAAAGTCCAAATTGTTCGGGGGAAACATATTCATTGATCATGATCTGACGAAAGAAGAGAGAGAGGTACAAAGGTTACTGAGAGAACGGGCAAGAAAGGAACGAGTGGAAGGAAAGAAAGTAAAAGTAGGATATAGAAAAATGTACATAGAGAATGAGATGTATGTATGGAATGAGGAGGCAGAGGAAATAAGGAAAAGGGAGAATTTTCAAAAATCGGCCGAGAGGAAGGAATAGATGTGCGAGTAAAAGAGGGAGGCAAAAGGAAGAGGAATAGGAGAGGAAAAGGAAACAAGGATACAAGCGCAGAAATAAGGATGATCTTTTGGAATGTGGCAGGGCTGAAGAAGAAGGACAGAGAATTCTGGGAATACATAGAAGGATTTGACATTATAGGACTATGCGAAACGTGGGTAGAAGAAAAGGAATGGGAGAGAATGAAAAGGAATATGTCAAAGAAATTTGAATGGAAATGTCAATACGCGATTAGAGAGAAATGTAAAGGTAGGGCTAAGGGAGGTATAATAACAGGCATAAGGAAAGAGATAGAGGAGATAGATATTAAGGAAGCGGTATTTGTAAACGGAATGCAGGAGAGGAGGCTGAGGGTAGAGGGGGAAATATGGAGAATAATAACGGTATATAATGGGGAGAAAATGAGAACATTACGAAGAGAATTAGAGGAAATGATAGAGGAAAGGGAGGAGGAAATTCTATGTATAGGGGGAGATTTTAATGCAAGAATAGGGGGTGAGGGTAAGAATTACGAGGGGGACAACGACGAGGAAAGACAGAGAAGCTCTAAAGATGGGGTAATAAACACGGAGGGAAAGGAATTTTTAGGGATGCTGGAGGAGAGGGGATGGGAGGTAGGGAACGGTAATATGAGAGGTGACGAGGAAGGAGAATGGACGTACTCCGGAGGAAGAGGAACATCGGTGGTGGACTACATGGTGGTGAATCGAGAGGCGTGGGATAGAGTGATCAAGTTAACGATAGGAGAAAGGGTGGAGTCGGACCACCAACCCTTGGAGGTAGAAATAAGGGGAGGAGTAGAAAGGTTGGAGGAAGAGATGCAAAAGAAGACAAAGGAAGTGATACAGTGGGACGAAGAGAGTATCAAGAAGTATAAGGAGAAAGCGGAAGAGGTAGAGGTGGAGGGGGAAGAGGTGGAGGACGTCTGGGAAAACCTGAAGAAGGCAGTAGAGAAAAGTATGGTAAGGAAAAGGATTACGATAAGGAGGAGGAAAATAGGAGAGAAGGATTGGTGGGACGAGGAGTGCAAGAGAAAGAAAAGGGGGCTGAAGAGGACATATAAAAGATGGAGAATGGGAAAGGAAGGAAAGGAGGTATATGTGAAACTAAGAAGAGAATTTAGGGAGATGTGCAGAAGGAAGGAAGAAAAAAGACTAGAGAATTATGAGGAAGAAGTCAGGAGCGCGAAAACAGAAGAACAAATATGGAAGATAATTAACAAGGAAAGGAAGAAAAGAGTACCAATTGAGGAAGATATAAAGATGGAGGAATGGGAGAATCATTTTATGCAGTTGTTGGAAGGAAGTAAAGAGGACAGGAGAGAGGAGGTGGAAAGAAGAAGTAAGGAAGAAGATGGGGAGCTGGAGATTCAGGATCAAGAAATTGAAGAACAGATCAATAACTTAAAGAGGAGAAAAGCGGCAGGAGTAGATGGGATAGCAGGAGAGGCATGGAAGTTCAGCGACGGGCGGATAAAGGGAAAGTTGAAGGAAATCCTGAAAAAGGTGTGAAGAGGTGAAGGCTTCCCGGAAGAATGGAGAGTGGGGTTAATAGCCCCAATTTTCAAGAAAGGTGACCCGAAAAGTGTGGAAAACTACAGGGGAGTATCCCTGTTATGTACTGCGTATAAGATATACGCAGGAATATTAGCAGAGAGGCTAAGGAAAGAGGCAGAAGAGAAGAAAATTCTGCCGGAAACTCAAGCAGGTTTTAGGAAAGGCAGAGGGACGATGGACAACGTGTATGTGTTACAGCACGTGGTCAAAAGAGAACTGAGGAAGAAAGGAGGAAAAGTATATGGGTTCTTTGTGGACCTAAGGGCGGCCTTCGACAGAGTGGACAGAAAGATCTTATGGGAAGCAATGGAGAAAAGAGGAATAAGAAGAGGGATAATTGAAAGGATCAAGGAAATCTATGAAGGGACGAAGAGTGCGGTTAAAGTGAGCGGAAAAGTCTCCAACTGGTTCTGGACGGAGAAAGGAGTAAGGCAGGGGTGCCCTCTGAGTCCGCTACTGTTCTCGATATTGATTGCAGATGTGGAGGAGGAGATGAGGACAGGGCAGGCGGGCGGCATGAGGGTTGGAGCAGAAAGGATATGGACACTAGCGTATGCAGATGATCTGGTGCTGCTGGCAAAAAGTGTGGATGGAATGAAGGAGATGATAAGGAGACTGGAGAGATACCTAAGAAGAAAAAAACTGCAGCTGAACACAGAGAAGTCAAAGATTATGTGCTTTAGAAGAGGAGGAGGCAGAGGAAAGGAGGTGGGATGGGAATGGGAGGGAAAGAGACTGGAGGAAGTGAAGGAATACAGGTACTTGGGATACGAGTTGAGGAGGAATGGAGGCGACGACGGACAGATCAAGAGTGCAAAGAAGAAGGCAAATATTGTGATGAGGCAGGTATGGGGGATGGGGGAACGTAGGTTCAGGGATGACTTTAGGAGAAGAATGATATTATTTAAATATTTAGTACTTGGGGTTATAATGTATGGGGCAGAGATCTGGGGCTGGAGAGAAAGAGAAGAATTGGAAAGAATACATAAAAAGTATGTAAAGTGGACCCTTGGCCTCGACTCCTGTACGCCGGACTATATAGTTTATAAGGAAACGGGGAGAGTAAAGTTAAGTACAATTGCGGGAAACAGAGCAGTAAGGTTCGAGGAAAAGGCTATGAAGATGGGGGAAAGAAAATTGGTAATAGAATGCGTGAAGGAAAGAGAGAGTGAGGGACAAAAGGGTATGGTGGGGGAGGAGAGAGAGATGTTTTATAGGCAAAACGGATTTAGTTCAGAGGGTATAAAACTACTGAGGGAGGGGGAGGCGAATATAGGGCAAGTAATAGGGCAGAGAGAGAGAGAGAGACTAGGGCAATGGATGGATAGTAAGATAGGAAGCACGAGATACAACAAGAGATATAAGGACATAATGGCGCAGGAAGGACCGAGATATTTGAGAGAGAAAGGGCACAAAGGGAGCCAGAAGTTGATTGCGAGATGGAGATGTGGAAACGAAGAGGAAAGAAACAGATTCTGGGCGGAGGCGGGAAGAAGAAAATGCCAGATCTGCGAAGAAGAAGAAGGAACGATGGAGCACATACTGACACATGTAGATAGAGAGCGCAAGATTAGAGTGAAGGATTTTTTAGGAGAGGAGGGAAAGATAGCGAATGTGAAATGCATGAGAGAATTAGGAAAAATGAGAGAGAATAGGAGAAGGGAAAGAGAGAGTGCATGAAGGAGTGAATGTTTAGGTAGCAAAATTGTAAACCAAGTCCCGGATTTTAGGCTGGAAGGCCGAATCGAATAAAGTATATTATTATTATTATAAAATATTAATACAATTGACACACTATTAGGAAATATTATCT